TAGTGGCGTTTTATACTCTTTTAAGTGTTTGGAACAAACGTTAATACATGAGTAGTAGTAGTAGTGGCAGTTGTTTAATATTAATTATCACGTGTACCATATGGTGGTCACTTTGTGATCATCAGCCAACTTGCTGATTGCCTAGCTACTGTTAAAGACTATTTTTGCTTGCCAGCTTGTTTCATTAATCCTTTGTCCGGCCATCATAATTAAGCTTGTCTTCTTCTAATGATACCTGTCTTTGATTTCATATTGTTTTCTTAGCTAGAAGGAGTGCTTAGCGTGAAGAGCAAACTTAATAGAGTGTTGGAATTGTAGGAACTAGTATAAGAAAGAGCATTTCTACACTCCAGTTTCTACATCCATTCCAGGATAGAAAAGCTGGTTGAGATATATGGAGCCATGTTATAAGTTTGGCCTTTCATGGAAATTGAGATACGGAAAGCCATTAAGCAGTATGATCAATGATCCAAGTATGTCACCGCCACTAGGTCAGATGGTTTCTCTCGAGAGAGAGTTATATAAGAAGTGTGACTATCTAAACAAGATGGTTCTTTCTGCTTGCGAAGAAGTTCCTACTACTGGCTAGCCTACCTATTGATGATTAATCGATGATACGCCAAGCGAAAAATAATTGATTTGTCACGTTGACTCGATAAGTGACAAACCTCCCTCCAGAGCTTTCTTATCCTCGAGATTGATCATCTTCGAAGGCAAAAACTCCATCTTCTTCCTCCTCGCAGTCCCCCCACCTATGAGCATTTGCTCATCGATGGCGGATAGTATATTGCTCGTTGCAATAAAAGCATAGCCAATTGGCCCTTTTTCGCTTCATCTCATCTTATGCCATCCTTTGCGTAGTGGATTGTTTGATATGTGGGACCACGTGCGGCGCCACAACTGTTGGTTTCGGGGCCGCTAGTGGAATATTTCTTTGCACACTCGGATGCTTTGGAAACTCTTCATTTTCACCTTTGCGAGTCAAATCACCTCTCTTACGGTCTCTGAACGAAACATGTGAATATCATCGAATATTTATGGTTGAAGTCTTCTATGCATTAACATGAAAAATAACTACTACAAATGCTATTCAAACTAGAACGATACGATAAAAAATAAATTACTCGAATCACCTCAAAATTTAAAACTACGCAAGCCAAAAATGCTCGATTGGCCAAGTTGGCTCGATACATGATACCATAATAACAATAAAAATCGTACCACCCCTAATAAATAAGGGTTATGCATGCGTGTCAGAGACATGCAATAGCATCGCTCCTCGTTTGAAACCACTGATAAATGTGTCACTTACTCTTAATTTTTAACGAATTAGTCATTTACATTTTCACTAACTAACAAAATCATAATTTCATCCATCTGCAATTCTGCATCCATTTTCCTGGTATAACTTAAAAGGTCAGTTATGTGACCTTGTATAATACAAACCCAACCGCATCCAACCCGCCCACCCGCCCGACCCAACCACCCACCCGACCCTTACAACCCCACCCGACCCACCATCCCAAGCCACCTACCCGACACTTACAACCGGCCGGAGCTACTACCATCCCTTCCACTTCTTTCTACTTCCTAAGCTCCCATATCTTATACCAATATAAATATTGGTTCTTCTAACCGGCCAGGGTGATTGATTTTCCTGTGCAATGTCATGGCCGGCAGGCATATTTGGTCCTGGAATCTCTTCGTTCATTTTCTTCTAGTATTTATGTAACATTATGCAAGTACCATACTACACGTACCTAACGGCCGGATGCTTCACCAACTATATCACAAACATTTTCAGGTTACTCTGAACCTGACAAATAATTGGTCCCAAATGAAATAATACTCTCCTTATTCCCAATTTAACGTGAGGAATCAAGTAACCAAAAGAATTCCCTAGAAAATCTTCTCTTTGCATTATTGCCAATAGAATGTTCTAATACATATTTGCAAAGTCGACGGCCAAAACCAAACAAACAAACAAACAAGAGAGATCTCCGGTGACCCCTCACCAACCGTCCGATTCCCACCCCCACCACGGAAGTCAACTTTGGTTTTCTTTTTTTGCCGCATTCATCACCGTCCGATTCATTTGGATAAGAACACAAGACCGCAGTTCACGCGGCCCTGATCCTTAACCTCCCAGAAAGCGGAATTCCCATTTTCCCTTTTGGCTAATTAATCCCGGATTTGTTTGTGCCTTTTAATCAAGCACGCATTAACTTCAAACCAACCAAACCAACGCACCAGTGATTAACAAAATGCAATGAATATATATTCTTGGTGCCGCTTATAATTAATCGTACATACACAAGCAAATAATTTATGTATAGAATTAAGTTGAAATAATCATACCCCTGATAGCTCAGTTAAGAGATGTTTACGTCGGATTTGTTTGTTTTTTTTAAAAGGGTAGATGACCCAACCGGATAGGGATAGGATTTCTAGAAGGTTGAGTGTGGACAGAAATGTAATTGTGAATAGACCAAACTTAACCCAAAGATTTTTTTTCCTTCTATGCTAGGTAGTAGGTAAAGCTTCGAGAATGAAGCTGCAGCCTGAATCAACAAACAGTACGTGTGGATTTTCTGGATGGTGGGAAGTTTGCCAAAAAACTTGTTGACAAAATATACCCAGAGGTGATTGGTCTTCCCGCGTCGTCGTGTATGTAAATACAAAACGGAAAAGGACTTCATTCACCGGCCGGCCGGCCGGCGGGTCAATTCGTCGTCGTCGCCTACTTGCAAAACTGATCTTGGATTTTTGTTTATATGAAAAAAAAAACTGGTTTTTTATAGTATAGAGTAGTGTATATAGAGCATGTGAAAGCAGTTGCAGAAAACAAACTAGGCTACCCGCGTGGCGCAGGCATCATCAGCCCAAGTGGAAGTGGTGCTCGTTTTTTCCTTTTTGTTTATTATATGCAAGGTCCACGTCTCTCTCTTTGAGTAAGTCGTCTTAGCTAGCTAGCTAGATCTGAAAGTGGGGAACTATTACGTACAGCGAGGATTGATCATAACACTTTACACATATGTTGACTCATTTACCAGTTCAAAGATTGGGTTTTGTATTCATAATGTTAACGGTACCTTTTTTTGTTATCAATCAGGAGTTTGGTTGAAGATATGGATGGAATGTGGTTTAGATTCGGTTAATCGAACTGAATTGGTCGGTTACTCGAACTCGAATTGGTGCCCTCGCAGCAACCTTAAGTTAAATCGTTGCGGTTAGACATGAATAGAATGTTATGGGTTTCGGTTATAACCGCAAAAACTGGATAAATCGTTGGCCATATTCTTTGCGGTTTGGGTACCAGATGTGTTGGTTAATTGAGGTTTGTGATTCTGTAATCTTGTGGTTATTTGTGTTCTTTTTCTGTTCGGTTTGCAGTTACACATGGCACAATAGAATGACCCACCAACAAAAAAAAAACATAACCGTTGTATCTCTTTATTTTTCTATTCTCGATAACCGTCAAATTCGGTTGAAGTTTCTCATGCGTGCATTTTAACTGCTAGTTACGATGAATTTAATCTTATGTAAATCACGAAAGAGTAAATTAGTTTGTCATCCAATGTCAAGATCCAGACATCCGATGTTACCTCATCGTTTATGCTTGCGGATTCGGGCAAAGAAAGAAATTGAGTGTCAAAACTAATTAAAGCGATGGAGATGGAGAAAGTCAAAAAGTGGGGGTAGTTACAGCCATGCCATGCATGTCCTTTTCGTACGAACCAACTTCGGAGACTTGGGCTCCTTATTTTTACATTGATTACCCAAAAATTGAACAGAGAAGAAAAAGAAGAAAAAAAAAACTTTGGAGACTTGTGACTCCTTGCCCAAGTCCCTAATCAACTCTTAATTAATAGTTTCCAGAAGAAAAACTTCTAAATTAATTAACACTAAAAAGTAATAGGATTGAGATGATGTGAACTCCATCTCCCAAAATCTAGGTTTTCGATGATAATGAAACTGTTACTATTTCTTAATCTTTCAATCTCCTTGAATCTTAAATACCGACTTTAGGATAAATGTTACATTTGGTCATTGAGATTACTAAATCGTACTATTTCTCGAAGTTATATATATAGAGCTTCTTCTTGTTGAGTTTTTTTCCCCCTCTCAAATATTCCTTTTGTTCAAATCGAATAATTAATATATCGTAATTTGGTACCTCTGGTCGCAACTTGAAAGCTCTGCATTATCTATATTTTGCAGAAATCCAACTCCTAATCATAGGAAACTCGAGTTTAGCTAGTTGGCATGTCAGTGATGGAGCCAGGAATTTGAATGGAGGGCTGACTTGGATCGTGATAATAGGAGGAGGGGAGCTAAAGCCTTATCAATTACTCTATGTCCTAAATTTGTTGCAATTTTTAAATGTAATTTTGCTTGTATTTCAAATTTGAGGAGGCCTGTAGCCCCTTATAATTCAACCTAACTCCTCCACTGTGGCATGTTGTTCTGTTAGTTTTGTAGTTGATGTATGTTTGTCCTTTGATAGTGGATTTGTGATTGTACATGACCATAATTTGTAGACAATAGCACAATTTATATATGGACCAAGGACATAGTATAGCGACATGTACAAAAAGAATCTAATAATTAACCACAAATCAAATTAATTTGGAAACAGTAAAAGAATTTGAAATTTATATAGAGGGACCATTTACCAAAAGGAAGGAAGAAGAATTCCTGGTAAAGTCCATAGAATAATCCAAGAAGCTGAAGGGAAAAAAACGAAACAGGGTGGGAAAATTCAAACCAAAATAAAAAAAAAAAAAAAAAAAAGGAGTCGCTTGCCTCGCCTCGCCTCTCCTCTTTCTCTCTCTCTCTCTCGCAGGTCAAGCATCGCATCCGCGTTTTTGTCGGAATATAATTAACTTTTTATTTTATAAAAATTAAAAAACAAATCCAAAATATGTCACTTACACCGATCCCTCCCTCTTGTTTATATACCTCCTAATCCCACAACCCATTTCCTCAGAACAAACTCCTCCTCACTCTCTCTCTCTCTAAATCTCCCTCCAACCTCGACGAAGACGAACATCAACAGATAACACAGGCCTTCCGCTTTCAGAAGAATGACGGCGGAGAAATCCTGGTGGTCGGCTTTCCTCTCTAGCTGCCTCTTCGGCTCCCAAGACGAAACCACACACCACGACCAGACAAGCAGCAACAACAAGAGAAAGAAGAAGAAGAAGACGACAAAGAAGAAGTCCACGTCATCGTCGTCGCCTTCTTCCTCCCCCAGGGCCAGGAAGCAGCAGCAGCACCCGGTGATGATGACGATCACGAAGCAGGGCTCCTTCCACGGCCGGGTCTCCATCTCCGACCTCAGCAACCCGGACTCCCTCTCCTCCGACCTCTCCGCCTCCCTCGCCGGCTCCAACCTCCACGTCTTCACCCTCGCCGAGCTCAAGGTCATCACCCAGAGCTTCTCCTCCGGCAACTTCCTCGGCGAGGGCGGCTTCGGCCCCGTCCACAAGGGCTTCATCGACGACAAGCTCCGCCCCGGCGCCCTGAAAGCCCAGCCCGTCGCCGTCAAGCTCCTCGACCTCGACGGCCTCCAGGGCCACCGCGAGTGGCTCACCGAGGTCATCTTCCTCGGCCAGCTCCGCCACCCCCACCTCGTCAAGCTCATCGGCTACTGCTGCGAGGAGGAGCACCGCCTCCTCGTCTACGAGTACATGCCACGTGGCAGCCTCGAGAACCACCTCTTCCGACGTAAGTACTAATTAATAATGATTAAATTAATCGCGGTAGAGTATTTTGTACTTAAAAATGTTTAATCTCGATTTTTGACTTTTTCTTCTTCAGGCTATGCGGCGTCGCTTCAATGGTCAACGAGGATGAAGATCGCTTTGGGAGCGGCGAAAGGCCTCCAGTTCCTCCACGAGTCCGACAAGCCGGTGATCTACCGCGACTTCAAGGCCTCCAACATCCTGCTCGACTCCGACTACACCGCCAAGCTCTCCGATTTCGGGCTGGCGAAAGACGGGCCGGAAGGGTCCGACACCCACATCTCGACACGTGTCATGGGGACCCAGGGCTACGCGGCGCCCGAGTACATCATGACGGGGCACCTGACGTCGATGAGCGACGTGTACAGCTTCGGGGTGGTGCTGCTGGAGCTCCTCACGGGGAGGAGGTCCGTGGACAAGGCCCGGCCCCAGAGGGAGCAGAACCTGGTGGAGTGGGCCAGGCCCATGCTCAACGACCCCAGGCGGCTGGGCCGGATCATGGACCCGCGGCTGGAGGGGCAGTACTCCGAGACCGGGGCCAGGAAGGCGGCGGCGCTGGCGTACCAGTGCCTCAGCCACCGGCCCAAGCACAGGCCCAACATGAGCCTCGTCGTCAAGACGTTGGAGCCGCTCAAGGACTACAACGACTTCGCGATGGGCACGTTCGTCTACGTGGTCCCCACGGAGGCCAAGAGCGGCGGCGGCGGCGGCGGGGAGAAGGAGAAAATTAGTGGTGGTAAGAAGGAGTTGGTGGGTGAGGAGGAGAATAAGGTGACGAAGAAGGAGCAAGGTGGGCAGGAACAGTATCATCATAGGCATAGGCTCCACCGTGGTGGGGAGGGCGGCGGCCGGAGGCATCACCGGAGTTCGCCGACGGTTCACTCGGAAGGAGGTGGTGGGTACAAGCAGAGTCCCCGGTCCAACAGACTGAACTCTCCGTTGCATCCAAACGCCAAAGGAGCGTGATTTTTTTATTCTTGCTTTTTTTTTAAATTAATTAATAATTAGTACAACAATTTTTTAGTTATTACAATATTGCAAGTGTATATTTTCTGGCGCTGTAAATAGATACATGCCATGCGTAGACACATGTGGAGTTTTTTTTTCTTCTTAATTCTTTATTTTGCCAATAGAATCGGTCGAAAATTGGCTCAACTGTATAAGGATTTTGTTTTGTTTTCATTTTTTCAACCATTTTTGTTTCTAGAAGGAGTTAGTATTACTAATTACACAGTTGAATCCAAAAGTTACATGAAAGATTAAATATTATCTAGCTTTTTCATCTGTGGCAATATGCTTAAAAGTGAATTCATATTGAGTACAAGTTAAAAATTAAGATGGAATTGATCATAGATGAACAATCCAATTAGTAGCTTACCAATCTATCACTTGATCTACTCACGTTTTGTGTACATATATAACAAGTAACAATATCAAATTTGTTGCTTCTAAATTACACATAATTCTGCGCGTATGATAGAAAAAAATAATGCCTTATATACTGTTAATGGAAATTGCAGTTCTTTGTGGATTTTCCCCTACCAGCTACTAGGATGAATATAGTAGAAATATGGGTATTTGGTGGGGGCGGATTTCCTCAACATTAACACGTTGCCGACCAAGTCAAAAACCCGTTATTAACAAGTTTAAGACATGTTGGTGATTTCAGTGATTATAATGGGAATGGAGTCAAAGAAACAGCTAAGCCGGTTTTGAAATGGTAGAAGCCAGTTGGAAATTGCCTGCTATTGGGACATTAATTGTTGACCTTTTCAACAATTCGGTACAATCTCCACTAAACCCAGCGGAGAGGAAGAAGACAAATATAAAGAAACGAAACAATCGTTTGCAATATCTGTCTATATTATCCATCGTGGTTGGTACCCGACAAATATAAGTATTATCAAATCAGGAAAAAGATTTTACCACTTAAAGATAACCAGGGGGAAATTGGGTCGATAATCCAGTGGGCTGGTATCTTTGTGTACTCAATACTGTCACGAACGTAGTTTGACGATTTTGACCGTCCATTTTCTGGAACGGATGATTGAGACAAGTAAAATTAGAAATTTATTAGGCCAAATACACTTGTGTAGCCAAAACTTTGACGGTTTTGCCAAATATAGCCACTTTTGGTGAAATACCAAAAATAGCCACTTCCGTCCAATTGTTTGACGGTGTTAGTTAACGTGCTGACTGGACTAACGGAAAAACTAACATATCAACCTTTTAGTCAATAAAAATATGAGTTGGAATTAACTGAAAAATAAAAACAAAAAATAATCAAATATTTTTTATTTCCTCTCTCCACTCTCGGTTCTTTCCCCATCCGTTCCCCAACCGCCGCTCATCTTTCCCCTTCGTCGAGCTTGTGCAGGTTAGTGATTATTTATGTACTGCGATTGAATTGGGCGGACGGGCTAGGTCGAGCTTCTCTTGGTCTATTCCAATGTTTTGTGCCGCCAAGTTGGAATTCCATCCCGGTTCGGATTTAGGGTTTTCTAGCGCTGTTGTTGGAATCGCTAGAGTGGAATTCGGGTGGTGATGATGCCACCGAAGAGAAAGAAGTGGACGGAAGCAAAGGAGAAAACCCTAATCGCCAAGTACGGCGAGATGGTCTCCGATGGTACCCTTGCTAGGGTTTCACCGACATCTCGTCCATCACCAGCTGCTGAAGGTCTTCATCGAGCCGGCGTTTTGAAGGAGCCGCCTGCAAAAAAATCCCTCTGCCAAAAATGCCAATTCCAACTCTAGAATCTCCCCCATTTGAATCGATGTTGGTGTTGGTCATCATCAGATTTCTTCCGGGCCAGCCTCTCCACGACGCAAGGCGCTAGGATCTGCGCAGCCGTCGTCGCGGTCGTCGTCTCCTCCAGATCCTCCTCCGTGGCTGTCGATTCTCGATCTGGTGCTCGTCAATGACGATGCTCTGTTTCGTCTCCTCCAGCACGAAACAGACGGCGAAGCTCGTGTTCTTCGTTCGGCGTCGGCGAAGCTCGTGTTCCTCCTTTGCTTCTATGGTCTCCGCTCCAGTCGACCGGATGGGCTACATCGCTTCTCCTGGGGTCCCAAAAATGGCAAGGGAGAGAGATGCACAATGGCGGGTTCTGGGCAATTTCGCCACCGCCGTCGAGTTCGTCACTCTACGGCATCGCTGTGAAAAATGGGAATCCTTTGGCTTCCCAATTTTTTATTCCTCATCTATCTCTATTCTTCCCCATCTATCTCCCATCTATCTCCATTTAGGGGTAAATCAGAAGCTTTCTGATCGGAAAATTTGGGAATTTATGATGATTGGAATACATGGGAAAAGGGGGTGAAGATGGCGAGGAGTTCGTGGACGATGAGATGGAGATGAAGGGAAGAATGGTGATGAAGGGAAGAAGACAGGGACAAAGGTTGATTATTGTACCTTTATGATTTTTCATTTTTTGTTTTCATTTATTTTTAAATTAAAATATGACATGGCATCCATTTGGCAAGTGTTGGTGAGTTGTCGATGATGTGTCCGGTGAGTTGGCAGCCAGGTAAGCTTTCCGTTAAATGGACTAACGGTGTCACTGACGCCGTTAAATTATGTAACGGAAATGGCTATATTTGTCATCAAACTTTCAAAATTCTGGCTATTATTGGTATTTCCCTAAAAGTGTCTATTATTGTCACAAACGTCAAAGTTTTGGCTACACAAGTGAATTTGGCCAATTTATTACATCGCACTAATATTACCACATATGGGAGAATCCCAGGCAAGTCGGAATTTGGCAAGGAAGGTAAGAGCCAACCAAATTTGAGAGCGGTATGGAATTGGTGACTATACTAGCACAACACCAACAATAATTATAGTTCAACTTTCTTACACCAATTTGTTTGGTAGTAAAAGCTAGGGTTAATATCCTAGTTTGGCCTAGAGTTTAGCGTAAGTGACAGTTCTGGCCCCATTTTTCAAATAAGACATTTGTGGCCTACTTTTGAAATTATTGGACAAATTTGGCCCGAAACTTGTATTGACTGTTAATATTAACGGTCAAACATGTATTCCGTCAATAACTCAGCATCTAGTGCTTAGGTGGGAGTGATGTGGCTTCCATGTCATTTTTTTTATTTCTATTCTTTTTTTTTCTAGTTCTTAAAAACTTAAAAAATAAAAATAATAAATAACAATAATAAACTCATTCTCAACCGCAATAAAAAACACAATCCTAATCTTCTTCTGTAGTCGGCATCGACGACAACCACCGCCGCTTCCACTCCTCTTCCTCCCGACCCTCCTTCTACTTGGAACTCGTTTGCGTCTTTAACCGCAAACCCATTTCTCATCACCGACCACGAATCCAAGGGTGATTGCAGAGCGGATTTAGCGTTTCCTCTAGATCGGTCTGAGGGAGAAGACGAACAGCCACCAGTTCGTTCGTCTGGAGAAAAGACGAACAGAACCCAAATCGCGTGCGAATCCTAAGCCCTTTCTGGGAGTAGCTCTAGACCTAGAAGACGAAGCGGCAACGGCGGCGGCGGCGGACTCTACATCTGCCAATCCGTATTTCAAGGCATCGTTGTTGGGGTCGAAGTCGAGCCCTTACGCAACAATAGCGTCCTGATACTAGGTCAAGCCAAGATGAGCGGCGCCGAGGCGGGATTAGCCCTTGGACCAGTCGGGCTTGAACGCGACGGTCTTCTTGGCATCGGCGTACTTCTGGATGGAGGCGTATGCCGCCGATCGGTTGGAATAGAGTACGTGGTTGGTGGGAGTGAGGGCGATGGCGTCGGAGAAGTGATTGATGGCGGTGGTGTAATCGTCGGCGGAGAACACCGCGTTACCCTTTGCTTTAGCTTCATCCACCATCGTAGATTGCAAATTCGATTGATTAAACGGATTAGAGAAAAGGGTTTTGCAGAATTGAACTATGATTAGCAAATACGATGTAGAAAGAAGGGTAATTATAGGAGGAGAGGAAGACGAGAAGGTTCTAGCAAATGGTGGTGAAGGAAAAGGAGTGAGGGTTGGAGAAAAGAGAGGGCTCTCGACGAAGAAGAAGAAGATAAGAAGTAGGGTTTTTAGGATTTCATTTATTTAAAGTTGTTTTTTATTTTAATTAATAAGTGATGTGGATGCCATCTCAGCACTAGATGCTGAGTCATTGACGGAATACATGTTTGACCGTTAATATTAACAGTCAACACAAGTTTCGGGCCAAATTTGTCTAATAGTTTCAAAAGTAGGCCATAAACGTCTTATTTGAAAAATGGGGCCAGAATTGTCACTTACGCTAAACTTCGGGCCAAACTAGGGTATTAACCCTAAAAGCTATTGATAATTTGAATGACTTGAATTGAATTATATGTCATCGATTGGATTATCTAGGCAAGATGAGAACTTGGCTCCTTTACCCACCAAGTTTCCACAATTAGTATTAGAGAGCTTGTCATGACATCAACTTGTCATCTTTGTACCAAGCCAATCTTGTCAACTTGATACCACTTGATACCCTCTACATTGCCCTGTCGGTAAGCCACTCTTACCAGCTTGCTAGCAAGTCCGTCCCAACAACTTGGTACATTGTTGTCTCTCTGTATTGATACCCTCTGCTACCAGGCCAGTCATGTTGGCCCCTGCCACCAAGTCATCCCTGTCGACTTGGTCTTCATACTTAGTTTTTAGAATCTTATCAAGTTGGTACCTTGTCGCCCTGCTGGCTTGGTACCCCGTTAAGGGGGCACCAAGCCCATCTTGGGTCTTAGTCTCCATATGGTCCTCTAAGGGGCTCTACATCGAGTCCTCACCATATTGACACTCTTAGCCCAGCACCCTGGCCGATCCATCCATGACTGCTTGATACCCAAGTCGGGTGGCCACCTCAACTAGCCACCTTGCCTTAGTCAAATTTCTTATCTTATTGGCTTGGTACCATGATGCCTGGCTATCAAGCCTGTCTTGTTGACTTGATATCCAGACTTAGTTTCTTTATGACTCTCTTAGTTGGTACCCGCCTTGATACCCCAATTGGTATCTTGGTACTAAGCTTGTCTTGCCTGCTTGGCTACCAAGCTCTTATTGTTTCTATACTTAGCCAAATTTAATGTCTCGGTCTTGTTTGGCCCCATGTTGCTATGGGTGGTCTCGTTCCCTATTGGCTCCATACTTAGCCAATTTCCATACTTGGGTATCAGCCCTGTCTTGCCGGCTTGGTACCC